GTCTGAGGTCAGCTGCGCTCACCCAGTTTCCAGCAGTCCTTTGTCTCTTGGTGGCGCATGCTATCCGATTTTGTACCTTATCATTTCACGTCAGGCCTCCTCTGCTCTTGGAAGCCCTCGAGGACAATCAGATGTCACAACCCTATGCAGCCTCAAGACCTAACAGAGGGTGCAGCACACACTGTGCCATAAGGGGCAGTCTGCACGGTGGGATAGAGGGGGCCTTGCTTAAGGTTTCATAGCTGGTAAGAGGGTACAGAGATAAGCCTGGCCACTGTCCAGTGCACTTTTCTTTCTGAGATAATGTTCTGTAGTATTCAAACCCCCAAGAATCAGAACTTAACCATAGAGAGATGGTTCCTAGACTTCTGTCTTAGAAACTGTAAGACAGTATATGAAAGTCACAAACTCCCCACATATTTATGAACCCAAACAGGGTGTTAGGGGCTCTGAAGGTGGTGTGCACAGACAAGCAAGGACCCACCCTTCCTTAAACCCAACACTAAACTAAGACACGTGACATTTTGCTCTAGCTGAGCACCAAGTACAAGCAGTTTTCAGGATGCCAGACTATTTATGTGTTCCCCAGACACCAATCAGAAGAAATATGTGGTTAAAGAATTTAAACTGGGGGCTGGAGAGATGACTCGAAGGTCAAGAGCACTGGCTGATCTTGCAGGGACCCCGGGTTCAGTTCCCAGCTCCCATGTTGGGCAGCTCTTAACTACCTGTAACTCCAGTTCTAGGGCATCTGACACCCTCTTCTGGCCACATTGGGCACCTTCCATATGTGCATATACAAAGACGCACATGGGGACGCACACACACACACACACACACACACACACACACACAGAAAAAATAAAACCTTTAAAAAAAAAGAATTTAAAACGTGATTCCCATAAGGATAAATTTTCCCAGAAAGGATAACATTTGTTTAGCAAATGAAGAAAAAATGATGTTTCAAAGAAACACAGGCTTTTAGAGAGCAGATGGGTGTGATTTCTTGTCCTTGGCTTGAACTAGTAGTTCCTCAGGGGGAGGACATCTGAGCATCTGCAGCTGGGACAGGAGCCGCTGCTGGGAGCGGAAGCTGACACACACGCTCTGATTACTGGTTTTGATGATGTCTTTTTTTTGTAAGAACCAAACTTTACTGTTCCTCTTACACAAGTCCTTGTAAGGCAGAGGGGAAGGTTTAGAAAGGTAGGGAGCTTATGCATTCTCTAGCACCAACTGGAAGCATCTAGTTAGTTACAGAAACATGTGAGACAAAGATATTGGCCTGTTGTTCTTTTGGCTCTCTGTGGGAGTGCCAAATGGGTGGAAGTCTGAGGAAGCTTGGGAGGAAGGACTAGGACCCCACATTAGGACACACCACACCTCCTTTCCTATACAAGAACACTGTCCTGAAAGAAACGAAACCCCCGTCTAATAGCTGAATGTGCACGCTGTGCTTCAGAATGTGCTACAAGCTAAAAACTAGGGTTGGCCCGCAGCAGATTTAGGAGTCCTCAGGCACAGGCAGCTGAGGCGTTGAATAGATCTGGGAATACACATGGGGATGAAGAGAAGAAAGAGCTGTCACTCTATCCTCGGGCCTCTGCTGGCTGTTCAACAGGAGCAAGTAAGCGCTCATGGCTTGCCAGGTTCTGAGCTGGGAGGACACGGGCCCAGCAGCTGAACAAGTGAGTTTCCCCAGATGAGCTCCAGAGGCCCCGGGGAACCCACACGGCTCCCACTGACAAATACTGGTATTGCTGGCGCCTGCCAGTTTCAGGTGAGTTCAGTAAGAACCATGTGCACATGGCTTTCAGCCCAGACTCTAGTGGCCTCTGGCACTGACTGCTTGAAAGCACCACAGTGGGAAGTAACCACAGAGGTCGGCCAGTGCTACGGCCCGCAGCTGCTGCCAGGAGAATGGGTTGCGAGCCATTCTCAGGCGTGGTCCAGCCTAGGGCTGCCCGATGCCTTGCCATGGGATCTGTGCCTTGCAAGCGCATTTTGTAATAAACCAAGACACCATTGGCCGCTTCTGCTGTCCTTTCACAAATGCAGAGGTGTTTTCTAGAAGCTTCCCTTAGGTGTGATGCTGTAGGCACTCAGGTGAGGACGTGAAAGAAAGGAACAGAGGTGTGAAACAGCATAACTCGTTACTTTTTATTTGGAAAAAGTTATTTTCATAAACATATTAACATGTAATTGGCTTATGTTAAAATGAATTAATGAAAACTTTTTTTAGATTTTTAAATTTTTATTATTTTTAGCTGGCCGTGGTGGTGCATGTCTTTAATCCCAGCACTTGGGAGGCAGAGGCAGGTGGATCTCTGTGAGTTCGAGGCCAGCCTGGTCTATATAGTGAGTTCCAGGCCAGCTGGGGCCACATGTCTTAAAAAGAGAAAAAAATATATATTATTTTTAATTATGTGACTGGAGGGCAGCATGTACAGGTGCCCACAGAGGCCAGAGGCATCAACTCACCTTGGAGCTGCAGTTATAGGTAGTTGTAAATTGCCCGGTGTGGGTGCTGGGAACGGAGCTGAGCCATCTCTCCAACTCCAGAACTCCAGCTGTTAACTTGTAATAACTCATACAAACAGAAAGTCTTAGGCATCCTGCTTTTATTAAAACCAGATTTTATTTTAGAGCAATGATAGGTTCACAGCAAAACTGAGTAAGCTCTCCAGTGAAATGAGGCCCCCCCAGAGCACAAGGAAAGAAAGGCCTCCAGATGACCCCGAGAGGCAGTCGGCAGTGTGCTGCTCGCCTCGCACCCTGCTTGTCAGGCCACTCGGTCGCTGCCAGGCTGACATGACTTCATCTGCTGCAAGAGAGCCTTCTGCACCCAGACCCAATCAGTTAGTCTGTGGGCCACGCCTTCCTGACCTCCCCAAGTAGAAGGATGACATTTCCAGCCCACCCGGAAGACCCCCACATTTAACCATTTGTTAGACTGAGAGCACCACTGCCACAGTGCCAGCACCCAGTAATCAGGTGTGAGCAATTTGTCAAGGGTGGAGAGTTTTTACCACATTTTCAAAGGTAGGAGAAATCACGCACACAAAAAGTTTTAAATTGCCATTAAAGGCCATTGCTAACCCAGCTGCACCATAAAAAACTCCAAGGGGCTAGAGAATAGCTCAGTGGTTATAGCACTGGCTGCTCTTGTGGAGGACCTGGGTTCAGTTCCCAGCACCCATGTGGCAGCTAACATAGTTCTCCTTCAGTAACTCCAGTTCCAGGGCCTCCAACACCCTCTTCTTGGCAGGCCCTGTACCATGTTGCTCTTGTACACAAGCAGGCAAAACACTCATACACATAAAATAAAAATGCCAGGCATGGTGGCACACGCCTGTAGTCCCAGCACTTGGGAGGCAGAGGCAGGTGACTGTGAGTTCAAGGCCAGCCTGGTCTACATAGTGAGTTCCAGGCCATCTGGGGCTACAGGAACACCCTGTTTCAGATAGACCAAAAAATAGAATCTTAAAAAAATTCATTCAAAGCTGGGCATAGTGGTGCATGCCTTTAATCCCAGCACTTGGGAAGCAGAGGCAGGCAGCGCTCTGTGAGTTCAAGGCCAGCCTGGTCTACATAGTGAGTTCCAGGACAGTTGGTGCCATAGGGTGACCCTGTCTCAAAAAAGCCCCCTCCCAAAAAAATTTCAAAACTGATTTCAGTGAATGCTGAGCTGTTCCCCACACCAGGTGTGGCATTAGGAGTGAGATGGGGTGATGAGCAAGCCCAGATGTGAACTGTGTTCCTCAGGGATACAGATTAACAATCACTAATCATACAAATGCATCTCTACTCTCAGACCAGATATTGCTCTAGAGGAAAGGACCCAGTGCCAGGACTTAGTGTTCTGGCTTTGTAGGATGTATTTATTTTTTATTTGGTAATGTATTCATAGTCAGAAATTGGAAAGGATTATATAGTGAAAAATCTTCCCCCTTGCCCACCCACATTCCCAGCAACTGTCTAAAGGCTGTATGTGTGCTTGGCGGATTGTTCAGTAGCCTTCTGCTGTAGAAAACAGAGAGAGCTTCCCTAAAGATACCTGAAATGTGAGTTGAGGCATGAGTTTGTTTCCTAAGAAGACTGAGAGGGGGCTGTCCATCAACTTTTCCTAGAGAGCTTCAAACAAATGTGTATTCACGCTGGCCAGGACCAATGACAGACCAAATAAATGACCCCACCCATGTCTGGCTTGGTGAACCGCTGATATTACTTACAAGGTAGTGTGAGGGGTTCCCAACAGGAGCATGGCCTTCTTATAAGCTGCCACAGCACCCTAGCAATCCTTCACCACTTACATATCCTCAGGAAAGGGCAGAGCCTAGTGCACCATCTCTTGGGCCACCCATGAATGCTTTATATGTTTCCCTGAGCACTCCCTCTCCTCCATGAAGGAATGTTAGCAGCCCTGTGGTGGGAGAGAGAGAGACGCATTCAATCCTGGAAAAAGCTTAAGTTTGTTTATAATGCATTAACCCCTGGCTGTGTTTCGTTCAAGCTTATAGTCCCACTGACAGGATTATCTGGTGTTTTGTAAAAACTGATGACCAAGGAGCTGGTCTCATAAAGTGTGTTAGTTATTTTTGTTATTGCTGTGACCAACACCTGACAGACAGCAACTTAAGGGAGGAAGGATTTACCTTGTCTCACAGTTTGAAGGTCTACAGTCTGTCCTGCCAGCTGGAGAGGGGCGTGGCTGTGGCCCAGAGAGCGTGAGGCAGCTTGCTCACGGGTGAGAGCTCGAGGCTTGCTCATGTCTTCGTGCTCAGCTGGCTTTCTCCTATTTGGTCCAGGACCGCAGCCTGAGGGATGGCACCACCCATGGCGGGGGTCGGGCCTCGGTCCTCAGTCCTTTTGGGAGTGCCTTCACAGACACAGCAGGCCTGTCTCCAAAGTGATTCCAAATCCAGCCAAGTGGTGAAATGCCTGGTGGCTGCAGTTGTTTTCATTTCCACATACCCCCCCTTCTCGCTCTCTCTCCCCAGAATGGCTTATTCAGAGGAACCAGGAGTTGTTCCCTGTGGTTTCATCCGTCAGAATTCTGGCAATTCCATTTCCTTGGACTTTGAGCCCAACACCGAGTACCAGTTTGCGGAGGAGTTGGAAGAACGGTACAAATGTGCCTTCTGCCATTCGGTGCTTCACAACCCCCATCAGACCGGCTGCGGGCATCGTTTCTGCCAGCACTGCATCCTGTCCCTGAGGTGAGTGGACAGCCCCAGCTCTGACCACAGCAGGCTGGGATGAGACGGGGGTGTTCCCGGCACCAAGAGTCTGCTGAGGCCACTCATCCGCAATGATGGTTTGGGGAGTTGCTGTGGTTGGCCACAGACCCACAGGCGGCAGCTCTCCCCATCCGCTGGCCGGGGGCCTAAGCAGAATCTTCTCTGCGAAGGCTCGTAGCTCATGGTGTCTGTGTTGTAGCTGCCTTGATGATTGCTTACTGGAAGTAAAGGTGCTGTTGTGTCCACAGGGACCTGACTTCACACTGTCCATTGCTGGGCAGCTACAAAACCTGTGCATTAACATCACTCCAAGAAAATACTTAAGGTGATTAACTTAGGGTTTGTTTTGGTTCATAGGTTTAGGAACTCTATCTATTTCATGATTAACTGGCCCACTTGTTTTGGACCACACATAGTGGGAATACATGTTCAAGCCAAACCACTCCAGACGCAACAGAGAGAAAGGGGGCGTGACCTGGGCCCCTCTATCCCCTTCATGGCCACACCCCATGACCTCCCACTGGGCTCCATCTCTCCAATGTTCTCCAAGGTATCAGGGTTCTCTAGAGGAACAGATGGATAGAATGAACATATATTCAAACAGATTTATTAGATTGGCTTCCACGATGCCGTCTGGGTCGTCCAACAATTTCTGTGTGAACCCTGGAGAGGCTGTTGCCTCAGCAGGTCCCAACCTGGTGCTGAAGGCCTGGAGGATTTTTGGAGAGCTGCTGGTCTTCAGTCCACACTGGAAGAAGCTGGGTTCTCATAGCAGTGAAGGATGGTGGCATGGGCAAATAGGATAGAGCCCCTCACCAGCAAGAATATAAGGCAAGCAAGTAGCCTTTTCCCTCTGCATGTGGGCCACACATGCTGCCCACTCTGAGGAGGATCCTCCCACCTCATTAATCCTTTCTGGAAGTAACCTCTGGACCCGCCCTGTCTCTTAGTTGATTCCAGAGCCAATCATGATTACCCATCACACACAGCTTCCCAACAGCACCACCCTGGGGCCCAAGCTTTTAACACACCTGTCTGAGGGAGACACTTAACATCCAAACTACAGCAGTGTGGCCATGCCACTTTGAGAAGACCAGGAGAGGCATGGAAGAAGGCTTTAGGGGCTCCTATCCTGTACCTGCCAGGCTTTGGAAGAGGCCACCAGGCACGTTCAGGGTCGTTCAGCATTTGACCTTTCAGAACATGTGCACTCCAGGCTCTGCTCAACTAGCTGTGGGGTCTAGAGGCAAAGGGCCAAAGTGCACCCGATGTTCCCACCAGTCTCCACCTAAGGAAAGAGGCAGATTATGGTGTGGTGTGATAAATTTGGAAGGGGCACTGTCGGGGACTGTTTGACTGCATGTCATTGGACACTGTCTGGGGGACTCCGTGTTTGATGACATGTCACTGAACACTGGGGGACTCCATGTTAGAGACTATGTCATTGGACACTGTCTGGGGGACTCTGTGTTTGGCAGCCTGTCACTGGACACTGGGGACTTCGTGTTGGACAGCATGCTGTTGGGTAAATAGTTTTCCATGCAGACTGAAAGACCAGGGAGGTGCTGAAGTGAGGTGCAAGGCTGGCTTTTGGGGAGAGCAAGCAGTGTAGGTGGCAGCAGTCCACTCAGGGCTCGTGTGTGGCTGGGGTGACAGGCTGCTCTTAGAGAGCTGTTAAGGTTAAATACTTAACTTTGCCCTATTTTGTCTTTCTCTCAGAGAAGTGAATGTCATGCCAATCTGTCCAGTAGACAAGGAGGTCATCAGGCCTCAGGAGGTGAGGAGATCACTGCGGTGACTTGGGTGGTGAAGGAGCCAGCATCCAGGGTTGGCGTGGACATCCGGGCTGAGCCAGGAAATGTCTGGGGACCTTGCTGCCCTTACTCCTCTGCTGTGGCGTCAGCTCAGACCCTTCTCCTGCCCATTAGGAGCTTATGTGGGCTTTGCAGACCCACCCAGGCCTCTCCTGCCTCATCTTGCTCCTTCCCTACACTAGCTCCAGCCACATTGCTGGAGAGGTAGTGCACCCTGGTTCTTGGGCTTTACCTTCTCATCTGGCTAATCCTAAAAACAACTTCCCATTATTCTGTTTCATAACTTTTTTAAAATATTATTTTTATTTTATGTGTATGAGTGTACTGCCTGCATGTATGTGAGTGCACTTGTGTCATGCAATGCCTCGGAGGTCAGAAGAGGGTTTCGGATTCCCCTGGAACTGGAGTTAAGGATGGTCTGTAGCTGCCATGTAGGTGCTGGGAATCGAACCCGGGTCCTCTGCAAGAGCAGTCAGTGCTGTTAACCGCTGAGCCCTCTCTCCAGCTCCTAATAACAACTTTAAAAAAATATTTTATTTATTACTTTTAGTTCATGTGCATCAATGTATTGCCTGCATGTTGGTAAGTGCACCCATGTCGTGCAGTGCCCGAGGAGGTGAGGAGAGGGCATCAGATTCTCATGGAACTGGAGTTACAGATGGTTGTTAGCTGCCATGTAGGTGTTGGGAATCAAACCCAGGTTCTCTGCAAAAGCAGCCAGTGCTCTTAACCACTGAGCCATCTCTCCAGCCCGTTTAATAACAACTTTATCTATGTAATTCACATACCATATAGTCTGTCCTTTCAGTCTGTTTCAGCAGGTCTCCTTGTGTTCACAGAGTTCTGCATTGAACTGTGTAATTTTAGAATATTGCCATCACTCCACGAAGAAACCCCGTTCCCTGGGAGTCCCTTCCCCATCTCCTGCTCACTGGGAGTCCCCTCCCCATTTCCTGCTCACTGGGAGTCCCCTCCCCATTTCCCAGCCCATGGAAACCACAGTCTTGTTTCTGCTTTGATCCAGGTGCATTTTCTGGATATCTCATAAATGGAGTCCTGCAGTGTGTGGCCTTTTCTGCCCAAGTTCCTTCACTCAACATAAAGTCAAGGTTCACCCATGTGGAAGAGCGTACTAGCTCTTCATTGCTACATGCTGTTCTGTTGCGTGGATGTACCGCATTTGGTTTCTCCATTAGCAGTTAGGGGATGTTTGGGTTGCATCTGCTTTTTGGACTACTGTGAATAATACTGTTATGAATATCCACATACAAGGTTTTAAAATGTTTTAAATGATCCCAGCATTCCCAAAAAGTTGCAACCTAACATTAAGAGCTAAGGATAAGTGTAGAGATCCTGATTAGTGAACTCGGGTTTGATTCCCAGCACTGGAGATAAGAAGTTGTTCATATATATGTACTCATTGACATCCATGACACTGAAGTCTCCCGAAGAGGCCAATGCTGCTACGTTCTGGCTTCTGCCCACTCTTCACAGACATGGCCAGAACGCATACAAGTTCACGTGTGGACTCACGTGTTGATTTCTGTTGTGTATGTACCTGAGAGTCGAGCTCCTGGGTCACATGGCAACTCTGGGTTTAACATTCTGATGACTGACAGACCGCTTTGCACAGCACATCCTCATCAAAATGTGCCTTTCCTAGGTCACCTTCCCAAAGGTGTGAGGCTGCATTTACTCTGTGGTTTGAGCCGCTTTTCCCTGGCGGCTTGTGATGCTGAGTGTCGTGTCGTGCTGGCTGGCTATGTGCTTTCTCTATAAGGGCGACTCTTCCCTTCCCATGCCAATGATATTTTAAGATTTATTTTACTTTTATTTGTGTGTCTGTGTATGTGTCTGGTGTGTGTGTGTGTGTGTGTGTGTGTGTGTGTGTGTCTGATGTGTCTGTCTGTCTGTCTGTCTATATGTGTATCTGCCTGTGTGTCTGTGAGTGAATTCCCCAGAGCTGTGAGTGATCTCCCCAGAGCTGCAGTTACAGATGTTTGTGGGCTGCCTGGCATTGGGTGCAGGAACTAAATCCAGGTCTTCTGCAAGAACAGAAAGCCCTGCTAACCTCTGAGCCATCTCCAGCCCCACCTTTAACTGTGTTTAGTTGTGGGTGTTTTGGTCTCTAATTGCTGACTCATGAGTTCTTTACTGTAGTCTAGGTATGTTTCTTATCAAATTTTCAGACATTTCCTCCTATTCATGGGTTCTTACTTGGTTTGATGGTGTCCTTGAAGCAGAAAGTTTTCATTTTATTGAAATTCAATTTATTTTTCTTTTTTGTGGTTTTGTTGTTTACTGTTTTTTGTTGGTTTCTTGTTATTTTGCTGTATTTGACTTACAGACATGGAAATTTTCTCCCTAAAACCTTATCTACAGGCCCCTTCCCCTCCTCTGACCCTGTTGCAGGAGGCGCAAAATTCCACCTCAGCTTGAAGCTGAGTAGTTGGTCTGACCCACCACCTCTTCCCCTTTGCTTTTATGATGCCTGGTATAGCTGCTTTCCAGAGAGCTACGTGGTGCTAGGTGTGTGTGTGTGTGACCCCCTAGAGTGGGGCTTGCATGCTACAACATTGGGGCAAATTCTGCTAGTTGTTGTATAGCCTATGAGCTAAGAAATGGTTGTGAAAAAGATGCACAAAAAGTCTGATATTTTTGCAACCTCCTGTGAGTCTTAAAATTGTTTCAAAATAATTTATTTTAAAAATCAAGGAGGCTAGAGAGTTGGCTCTGTGGTTTAAGAGCACTGGCTGATCTTACAGAGGACCCAGGTCTGGTTCCCAGCACCCATGTGGCAGCCAGCAACCATCCTTCACTCCAGTTCCAGGGGATCAGATGCTCTCTTCTGCCCTCGTTGGGCACCTGCACATATGTGATGCACATAAACTCACAAAAACACATACTTTCACATAAGTAAATAAAATACACATAATTAAAAATCAGTATACAAAAATCATTTGCTATTCACACTTTTGTGTCCACAAGTAGTTTATTGGAGCTCAGCTCAGCTGTACCTGCTTCTGTCAGTGTTGTGGATGTCAGAGTGGAAGTGTGGTAGCACAGATGGCTGCCTCGTGGCTCGCCAAGCTGACAGTGTTTACTAGCTGGCACTTCCCAGAGGAAGCGTGCCAACCCCAGTTTGTGTTGAAATAATGAGTCAGCACAGTTTGGGGGCCCTGATGCTTTGCCCCAAGACAGGAAACAAAAGCTCCTTTGGCCACACCCCATCTTGACTTTTGACCGTGGGGTCAAGTTCACCCCTAGTTCCCATAGCTTGCAGCCTACAGCTTGTGCGTTGAGTTAACCTGGCTTGCCAAACATATGTGTCTTAGACAACCTTTGCTTTCAGTGTGGTGGTGAGTGTGATATTTCCATTTCAACCACTGCCTGGAAGTTTCCGTTTGTCCTCTGAGATAGGCTTGAGACCAGACTAATAATAGCTCCGTGTGCACCTCTGCAAAGGCACTGCTGTGTGTGAGACCCATCATGTTTGTCTTTTAGGTGTTTAAAGACAACTGTTGCAAAAGGGAGGTCCTCAATCTGTATGTGTACTGCAAAAACGCTCCTGGGTGTAATGCCAAAATCATTCTGGGACGGTTCCAGGTGGGTATCACTCATACCAGTGTTGCCTGTGCCATCCTTCCAGTGACATGCACTAAACCTTTCTGTGATGAACACTGAGTGTGGTAGACGGGTCCCCAGGGTTCCCTTCAGAGGGTTCCTAATCTATCGTATAGTGAGCAGCTCTTTCTGTGCAGAGCATGGGGAAACCATGCTTTGTTACACTAGGCCTAAATTGTGGGTTAGGAACCACTGAACCAAGAAGTGGGTGTGAGGCTTACCGGCCAAAAGGAACATTTGAACACAGGTGTATCATTATGGGGGGCTGTGAAGGATTTGGGGACCCGAGAGCAGGAGGCAGGCATGGTTGGCAAAGGACACAGTTGTGGGGCTCCTGCCCCCAAAGCATCTACTGTGTCTTGGTGCTGTGGAATGTGGGTGCTGGCTGGATGTTTGTGATCCATGGCAGATCACACAGGTCAGGATAGATGTCATCTGAAGGGGAAGCATTGATGGAGACTCAGCAGACAGGTGTCAGGTTAGCACAGGTGAAGGAGAGGCGTCCTGTCAGATGCAGCTACCTGAGCTGCCCTCGCATCCAGCTGGGGGAGGTTGTCCTTCCCGCCAGCCCTTATCAGGCTTGATCACACCACAAGTGACTAAGACTCAGCCACCTCTAGCTTCCAGGGAATTGCTCGGTGGCTGCTGACATTTTCCCCTCACACCCACACAGTTTGGAACACACATGTCAGATGATTCAGACCTTTATCAAGCCTCCAGATTCCCCCCTCCTCCCCCAGCACTGAGGTAATAAAATGTGTAAATGACTTCCTTGTCACCCAGGGCTGGCTGTGGAGGCTGACAGAACTGTCTTGTTCGTGTGTGTGATAGTCCTTTGCCACTTGCTTTGAGTAGCAAATCTTAGAGCAAGGCTTTTTGTCCAACTTTGTCTTCACTAAGGCTGGAAAACAAATGGGGGTTCAACTGAACCACTGAACAGCTGTAGAGACTGGACCCCAGGCTCTGCGGGGGGGGGGGGGGG